ATCCAGTTGTCTTAAAGGCCAACTATATGTGAGAGCAATAGAGAGAACAGCCCGAACAGTAATAGGTTTTACAACAGGGGAGAAAGTCTCATTGTAGTCAAAACCAGGTCTTTGATGGAATCCCTTTGCCACAAGTCTAGCCTTGTATTTGTTCACACTGCCATCAGGGTTTTCTTTGACTTTGAAAACCCATTTGCACCCAATAGCCTTTCTGCCATGAGGTAAAGTAACCAGGGACCAAGTGTGATTCTTTTGTAAAGCAGAAAATTCTAACTGCATTGCTTGGTGCCAGCAAGGACTAGCAAGAGCCTGCTTAACAGATGTGGGCTCAAGATAAGTAAGCAAGGCAATATTTCTGGCCAAGGCTTTGGATCTAGTAGTAATAGAATGACCAGATGAGTAAGAACTAAGTGAGCCAGATGGGACATACTCAGATGGTGATGTATAAGGAGGATCAGAAGAGAAACTGGATTCAGAGTCACTACTACGAGAATGACTAGGAGGAGAAATAGTGGGACTACCAGGGATAAGACCACCAGTATGGGAATTCACATGTGTGGATAGTATAGGAGAAGGAGGGTCACGGGTAGGAAAATTAGGTGAAGGTGACTCATGTGTAGATAGGACAGGAGAAAGAGACTCTTGCATAGGTGGAATAGAGGAAGGGGCCAGTGTATCAATAGGACAAACAACAGGCAACAGTGACTGTGTTGAACCATGCTGGACAGCTACTGCAGTAGGCAACGGTGTCTGTGGTGTACTTTGTTCAACAGTTACTACAGTAGGCAACAGTGTCTGTGCTGGACTATGCTCAACAGCTACTGCATTAGATGCAGAAGTAGGAGAACCAGTGGGGTAGGAACTCGGTGATGTGGGATGAGTAGGCTGTGGTAGTATGTGTAAGGGAAATGACACAGGGGTAGGTAATTGTGACCTGAGAGAGGATTTAGTAGGATTTTCCCATTCCTTGTAAGGAAAACGAAACTCATTGAATAGTACATCTTTTGAAATAAAAATTCGCTCTTCTGGACTGAGACAGATATAACCTTTGTGACTGGATGAATAGCCAAGAAAGATGCACTCTTTAGATCTAAATTCCAACTTGTGTTTGTTGTAAGGACGGAGAAAAGGAAAACATGCACAGCCAAAAATTTTGAGAAACTTGTAATCAGGCTGTTGGTGTAAAAGTCTGGTATGTGGGATCTCAAAATTAATGGCAGAAGAAGGAAGTCTGTTTATTAGGTAACAGGAAGTAGTGAAAGCATAATCCCAATATTTCATTGGAAGAGAGGAGTGAGCTAGAAGAGCTAACCCAGTTTCCACAATGTGACGGTGTTTTCTCTCAACTACACCATTTTGATGAGATGTGTGAGGACAAGTTACTCTATGGGCTATTCCACTCATTTGAAGATAATGGGTAAAGGCTCTAAACTCACCACCCCAATCTGTTTGTAAGGCTTTTAGAGGAAGTTGAAACTGGTTAGATATCATGGCATGAAATTGTTTAAAGACTGTGAGTGCATCTGATTTTTTGTTTTAAAGGATAGAGCCATGTGTATCTGGTATAGGCATCTACAAAAGAGATGTAATAGCTATTTCCAAGAGTTGATTTTAGAGGTGAGGGTCCCCAAAGGTCACTATGTACAAGAGCAAATGGTTCCTTATATTCAGTAGTAGAGGGTGTTGACTGTAACCTATGAGCCTTAGCACAACAGCAAGAAGCACAAAATTGTGGCATTTTATTACTGTGATGTATGTTACAAGACTGAAGTACTCTCTTGAGGGAGTCTAAGTGTGGGTGCCCTAGACGGCAGTGCCACAATGTGTACATTGAATTGTTTACAAATGCAGAAGGTGCATTGCTATCATCTATTACATCAACAGTAGACTTGGAATACTGAATACTGGAATTGACAGGTATATTAGCAAGATTGACAGACTTGGAAGGAGATTTATTTGGAATTGAAGTAGTGTCCTTAGCAAACTGGAGATCTGGAAAACGGTACAGACCATCATCACCAACAGTACCTTGAAGCAGGATTTTATGGGAATCCTGACATTTCACAAGACAAATATCAGAATGGAATTCAAAGAAAACTGAGTTATCTTTAGCAAACTTACTAACACTGATGAGATTCTTAGTGATTGATGGAACTAAAAGAAGGTGTTTAAGGTGTAGACAAGTTCTATTATCAACAGGAGATAAAAAGGAAGAAGATCCAATAGCTGTTATAGGCAAACCTTGACCATTCCCAATCAAAATATGATCAGTACCACTAAGCTGATGTCCGTGTGTAACATTCTGAGAGGCTCCAGTCACATGATTGGAAGCACCTGAATCAGGTAGCCACTCAAGAGGTTGTGCTGAGTTAGTAGCTGATGATGCTGCCAGGTAAGCTTGTGCATGTGGCTGAGCCTGTGGTCTACTGTATTGGAAGGACTTGATACTCTGAGCTTGCGGATGAGTAAAAAATTGTGGATAAGAAGTGTGTTGTGGTGGAGGTAGGTTTGGCATGAAATTTTCCTCAAACCTGTGCCAGCAGTCACGCACATCATGGCCAAATTTGTAACACAATTGGCAATGGACATTTGTTCTATTTCCACGTCCTCTTCCACGACCAAACCTTCCTCCAGGTCTTGCTCGTCCTCTGCTTTCACCAGAGGAAGTGTGATAGCGTTTTGCAGTGAAAGATTGATGATCTGATCGATCTTGTTTTCTGTTCTGAAAACTAAAATCATCTTCTTCTTCTGGTTCAGTACTCAGAGGAGCTGTACTGCGTTGTGTAAGATTCACAGATGCTCCTTCAGCTAGCAGTTGTTCATTCTGCTTAAGGAGAAGCTGTTCATGAGCCATAAGCTCAACTCCAAGATCTGCTACTGAGTACGATCTGTCTCGACCATGTATCATCATTACAAAAGGATTGTATTCAGATGACAAACCTTCAAGTATAGTCTCAGTGTGTTCTTCCAGAGATACTGGACTTCCAATCGATTTGAGAGTGTCACAAATTGTTTTGATTCGCGTAAGATACTCTTTGGCTGTTTTCGTTCCTTTCTTCATTGTTTTGAGTTCAGATCTGAGTTGTCTTGCTCTCGATTTCATAACTCCATGAAACAACTTGTGTATGTTCTCCCAAGCTTCGAATGAATGCTTGACTGGAAGAATGTCATTAACTATTTGTTCAGAAATGGTTGATAATAACCAGGTCAGAAGCATTTGATCTTGTGTTAACCACTCTGTGTATTCTGGAGTGGAGACATTATCTTCGCGATTCTGTTCAGAACTGAACTTCAAGGGGATCTTAGGGTTCACCAAGAAACGCTGCAACTGGTGTGATGTTATAACCGGTTCAATGATTTGGTTCCAGAAGAGATAGTTATCTTCTGTGAGTTTTGCTGATATTGAGAAGTTGAAGAGTGTGGATGGATCCTTGTTTTCCATTGTAGATCTGGAATTTGACTTCTCTGGTTGTGTTATGCTGTTGTCATTGAGATTGGTAGCGGAAGACATGATTGAAGCTTGTTGAATGGATCAGGCCCTAGGAGAGGGCTCTGATACCATAATAGAAAACCACCATTGATGGTGTGAGAGAGAAGAGAGAAGAGGAGAAGAGAGAGATCAGAAAGATGAACATTGTGATTAGAGAAAAATGAATAGTGAGTTAACACTTACACTGTACACTTATCTCTATTTAATAGAGAGGTGGTTAATGCATTGCTGACTCAGCATCTAACAAACTAACAACCTGAACTAGATACAGTTAAGCACTTAAACAAGCTCACTAATACAGCTATACTAGTTATGCTAATACAATTTTACGTTTTACGATTTTTTAATCCCTTTTCGATTTTACTTGATCTCGATTTTAACAACATTGCTCAAAATTTTTCTGCCATTAATTATCACAATTATTCTAGGCGCTTTTGAAGATCAAAGAATCTTTTGCATCTTGGATAAAAGTTAATATCCCTAATCTTATTTATGTTTATGAAAATATGAATTTCTGAAAACCAATTTTGTTCTTTTATGATTAATCCTAAAGTAGAAGACACAAATTGTTGAATGTTTACATTTCAATGGAATTTCAACCTAGAAACGCTGCGATTAAGCGTAACCTCCCGCTACTAATTCGAGATTTGATCGAATAACAAGTACCCCACGTCCCCACCGTTTCTCCCGGAAATCCTTTATCATTTGTGCTTCGTACCATGCCATGTTGCCAAAAAAGCAAAAACAACACCTAAATAATATAGCAAATCATCAATGACGGAACTGGTAGAAAACAAAAAACTTTCTATGGTTAATTTTTGAAATATCTACACGTCTACTTATTATTTTCCTATCAAATAATTTTCGTACTTTATTTTATTTGTAATTTATCATATATAATATAATCTTACTATGATTAATGCCATGTGTATATATATATATATATATATATATATATATATATATATATATATATATATATAAGGGATTAGATAATTAGTTGTGTAGATATTTCAAAATAATTTGTCAAACTTATTTTGATGTTCATGTTACAAATTAATACGTGAAAAAATGTAGGATAAAATATATTGCATTGCTTAAATTAAAAAACATTTTACAAAAAGATAAAAAAAATTCTTCAACAAGATAAGATAAGTTTTCATGGTTTAAATTCAAATATATCTAACAATAAGATAAAGTTTCCACTTCAACAATAAGATAAGATAAACTATTCAATACATAACAAGAAAAAATAAAACAAAAATAAAAGCCATCACGTATGACATGGAAGCATTGCAAAGGGTTCTAAACATTCAACAAAACCGTCTCTATTTTTTTTTCCTCCCTAATCATGTTTTCGTTTGGAAACCTTCTCTTTTTTCTCATACTCTTCACACACATCTTTGTTTCTCACACTTTCATTAATGAACCAAAGCCATGCAGTTCATACACTTTTCCTAATCACATTAACTATGCAGCATGCAAGGATTTGCAATTTCTGAAATCCTCTATGCACTGGAATTACTATCCATCCTCAAGAACAGTTGATGTTGCTTTCAAGAAGGAAAACACAACGGACTCTAGTTGGATTGCTTGGGCCATCAACCCCACCTCAAAGGGTATGGTTGGTTCCCAAGCATTTGTGGCTGTTCCAACATCTTATGGGACTTTCAAAGCCTATACCTCACCAATAACAAGTTATGAAACTCTCTTGCAACACGGTAATCTTAGTTTCCCTGTTCATAATGTTTCGGCAATCTACACAGACGGCCATAAGATCATCTTTGCAAGTTTCCAACTTCCATCCAATGTGACTTTGGTGAATCACGTTTGGCAAGAAGGTTTTGCTTCGGATGATGGAACTTTAAAAGCACATTTCCTATCAGGACCTAATCTTCGGTCTTTTGGTACCTTGAATTTTATATCTGGGAATGTTTCAGAAACAGGTGTACAAGTGAATTCCTCAAATACGACACTAAAAGACATAACTAGTTAAACTAACTCTTTAATTTGAATTTGTTTATACTTTTATCTTCAGTTTGAAACTTTGAATGGTATAGTATGCATTAATAACAATTTGCATTTTCAGGTCCATGGAATCTTGAGTTCTTTTAGTTGGGGATTTTTAATGCCTCTTGGGATAATATTCGGCTTCATGAAAGAATTTGAATTTGATTGTGGAGCACCTGCAAGCTTTTTGCATGGAGCATGTGTATCTATGGTATTTTTTATTTGCTCTGCTGGCTTTTCTACTGGTTTGTATATGGGAAATCATACTCATTCCGGCGTTCATAATACTTCACACAGATTTATTGGGATCACTCTAATGTATCTAACATATGTTCACGTATGTGTTGATATATTTCTGAAGCCTGAAAATCATCGCAAGTATAGAATATTTTGGAAATTTTTTCATTTTATAGTCGGTTATTCAATTTCTTTCCTAGCAATGTTGAACGGCTTCATCGGTTATGACATCCTACACCTTGATGATGACGACAGCAAAGGTATTTATTATGGGACAGTTCTGTTCTTGGCCGGATTAGCTTGGGTCGTGGAATCGGTTATCCTTCTAACTTTCATCTTTGGAATGATTACAAATTTGCTTTGTGCAAAACATTTTATTATGTTGCATGAGAATTCAATTCTCATGTTGTGACCCTTTGATTTTTGCGTGTAAAACTTTTCTTTTCTTTTTAATAAATGCTATATTTCATATGTTCAAGTATGTGTTGCTATATTTCTGAAGCCAGAGAATGATCAGGAACAGAATATTTTGGGAAATTTTTCATTATATAGTCGGTAATTCAATTTTGTCCTAGCCATATTGAACGCCCACATCGGTTTTTTCATGCTCAAGGTTGATGACTGGAAAGCATATTATTATTTTGTAATTCTGGTCTTGGCCGTAATTGCTTTCCAAGTGGAGTTGGTTAGCGTTCCAATTTCAATCTTTTAAAAATTATTTTAAAATTGTAATGAAATTTAATTTGACCTTTAATGTTCTTATTATTTAAATTCGGTGCTCATACATTCCATTTTGTTTTTAACATTTGTAATATTAAATTAATTACGCGAAATTCCAAGGATAAATGATAATCAGTCGCTTTATTTAGGTATTAGGTAGTTTAGTTACGTAATTGTGTATAATGAATCAATTTTATTGATTTACTTAATTTTTCTAGGCTGCTATACTTATCAGCTATGCTTACCACACTTAGTGTTTGTTTGGATGAGTTTTTATTTCTAAAAAAGTTACTTTTTTTTAAAATAAAAGTCTTTTTGAGAATTTTTAGATGTTTAGATAACAACTTTTAAAAAAAGTAAAATTTAAAATAAAAGTTAAAATGTAACTTTTTTTTATAGCCAGTGGTTGGTTGCTTTTAAAAAAAGCAGAAATTAAAAAAAAAAATAATTTGTTTTTTGGAAAAAAGATAATATTAATTTTTAAAATACAATTTTAACTTTATCCTATCATACATATTTTATCTCTGTTTATCCCACGATCATACTATTTTATCTCTCATTTATTGTAATTTTATATATAAAAAATGTTTTTTTATTTTAACATCCAAACAATTTTTTTTTATGTAAAAGTGATTTTTAGATCATACATCTAAACATAAAATAACTTTACCTTTTGAAAAAATAATTTAAAAAAAGTCATTTTTTTAAAAAGTCATTTTTTTAAAAAGTCATCCAAACGGGCCATTATTAGATTATCAGTTTTAAATCCAATGTTTCTCATTTTTTGCTAATTTTTTCCACTCTCTCCAATCTCACCAACCGAAATTCTACAATTGGATAATGCATCTTGTAAGGCCTACATGTGACTGTAGTATAAAGTTGGTATTAATTTTGATTTAATGTGCAAGTTATATAAAGGTAATTTGGCTAGAAGATAGGAAATATGAAAATAAATAACTATTATTGATAGGTGCATTTATTATGAAGGACAATTGTTTGACAGAAGGTTAAACGGAAAAATCCTCATAGTGTGCCCATATCCTTATCAAAAGCATACAGGAAAGAAAAAAGGTCTAGGCTATCAAAAGTTTTCTGCCATTAATGATCACAATTATTCTAGGCGCTTTTGAAGATCAAAGAATCTTTTGCATGGTGGATAAAAGTTAATATCCCTAATTTTATTTATGTTTATGAAAATATGAATTTCTGAAAACCAATTTTGTTCTTTTATGATTAATCCTAAGGTAGAAGACACAAGTTGTTGAATGTTTACATTTCTACGGAATTTCAACCGAGAAACGCTGCGATTAAGCGTAACTTCCCGCTACAAGTTCGAGATTTGATCGAATAACAAGTACTCCACCGTTTCTACAAGAAATCCTTTATCATTTGTGCTTCGTACCATGCCATGCTGCCAAAAAAGCAAAAACAACACCTTGGATATGATTGGTTCCCAAGCATTTGTGGCTGTTCCAACATCATACGGGACTTTTAAAGCCTATACCTCACCAATAACAAGGTATGTAACTCTCTAGCAACACGGTAATCTCAGTTTCCCTGTTCATAATGTTTTAGCAATCTACACAAACAAACGGCCACAAGATCATCTTTGCAAGTTTCCAACTTTCCATCCAATGTGACTTTGGTGAATCACGTTTGGCAAGAAGGTTTTGCATGGGATGATGGAACTTTAAGAGCACATTTCCTATCAGGACCTAATCTTCAGTCTTTTGGTACCTTGGATTTTATATCTGGGAATATTTCAGAAACAGGTGTAAAAGTGAATTCCTCCAACACGACACTAAAAAACGTAATTAGTTAGACTAACTCTTTAATTTGAATTTATTTGTACTTTTTTCATCAGTTTAAAACTTTGAATGACATAGTATGCATTAATAACACTTTGCATTTTCAGGTCCATGGAATCTTGAGTTCTTTTAGTTGGGGATTTCTAATGCCTCTTAGTGAAAGAATTTGAATGTGATTGTGGAGCGTTTTGCATCGAGCATGTGTATCTCTAGCATTTTTTATTGGCTCTATCGGCTTTTGTACTGGTTTGTATATGGAAAATCATAATCATCCTGGAATTCACAATGCTTCACACAGATTCAATGGGATCACTTTAATGTATCTGACATATGTTCAAGTATGTGTTGCTATATTTCTGAAGCCTGAAAATCATCACAAGTATAGAATATTTTGGAAATTTTTTCATTTTATAGTCGGTTGTTCAATATTTTTCTTAGCCATATCCAACGTCTTCATCGGTTATGACATCCTCAACCTTGATGATGACGACAACAGACAATGTTATTAAGGGATAATTCTGATCTTGGACGCATCTGCTTTCGGAGTGGTGTTGGTTAGCCTTCCAATTAATTTTAATCTTAAAAATTATTATAGATTTGCTTCGACCTGTATTTCTCTTTCAAATGTTATACGTTCCATCTTTTTAAGATTTGTAATATTAAATCAGAGCGTTGCTATTTCTACATTTAACATGTACAATTTATATACATTGAGCTCAAAATGATATTATTTTGAGGCAAAAATTTATTTCAGGATTATAATTTATTTCTACAGTTAATTATAACATGTATAATTAAGGCCTTTTTATAATTATAATTTATTTCAGGATTATAATAGTCTTTTTCATTATAATTTTTAAATTTTTCAACTCAAAACGATGTCATTTTGAAATAACTTATCTACGTTTACCGTAAAAACATTAAAGCCTTAAATTAATTACGCGACCGAGGATATATAAATGATAATTGATTTAATTACATAACTGTTTAGTTATGTAACTGTTTAAAATGAATTAATTTAATGAATTTATGTAGGCGGTTATACTTATTGGATTATCAGTTTTAAATTTATTGTTTCTCACTTATTGTTAATTTTTTGTTCTCTCCAATCTCACCTTCTCTCTTCAATCCACATAATCGGAAATTCTACAATTGGATAACGCTGATTATAAGACTTACACGTGACTCTAAATGGTATTAATTTTTGATTATATGAATAGGTGACATTAAGGTAATTTGTCTAGAAAAAACGTTGTTGGTAGAGACAAAACCTACATCATTGATTTTTATGCTTCAAAAATATTCGTCTTCGGCTATCGGCTGAAATTACTTTGAAAAAACTAAAAAAAAAAAGTAATTCAACTAAAGAACGAGAAAGTTATTTAAAATAGATAATTGTTATTGATAGGTGCATTTATCATAAACGGCAAAGTTGTTTTTCAGAAGGATTGTAAAGTGGAAAATTTTCCGTAATCTGTCCATAAGAGTTGAGTTGTATTTCATTTTTGCCGAATAGTGCATAGAAAAGAAAAAGAAAAAGAGAGTTAAAGTTACAAGAAGCTTTGTGCTATTAATATTATAATTATTTTGGAACTTTAGAAGATCAAAGAAACTTCCACGTCATGGATAAAGATTAATATCGCTAATTCAATTTATTTATATGAAAATATGAATTTCCGATTTTTAATTTTGTTCTTGTGCGATGAACCTAAAAGTGAAAAAACACAAATTGATTGATGAATGGTTACATTTCTTCATATGGAATTTCGACCAAGAAACGCTGGAGTTAAGCGCAATTTCCTGCTACCAGTTCAAGATTCGATCGACTAACAATTACCCCACCGTTTATACGAGAAATCCTTTGTCCATTTGTGCTTTCTACCAAGCACCCCAAACAAAAAAATACTAATAATAATAATAATAATAATAATAACCCTAATAATATATAGCAAATTATCAATGACGGAACTAGTGGAAAACAAAAAAACTCTAGTGACCATTACGCAAACCAAGTCACACATTAAGGATTTTCAATATATTTATTTTCTTATTTAAACATCCATTTCCATCATGGTAACAAGCACAACCATTTGTTTGAGAGCATTCATTTGTTAAACAATTACCTCAACAGTCCGACGGAAGACAAGGTGACGAAAGATGATAGTGAATAGAGCCACACAAAAAATAAAAAAGTAAAATTAACAAACGTTTTTTCGGAAAT